CTCATGATTCTGGGACAGCTGCATCTGGCATGGGCCTCAGGCTGCTTCTACTCATGGCAGACAGCAGCAGGCAGCTGGCAGGTGCAAGCAGATCACATGTCTGGAGGAAACAAGAGTGAAGGAGAGAGGAGGTGCCAGGGTCTTTTAAACAACCAGCTCTCCTGGGAACTACTACAGTGAGATCTCACTCACTACTCCGCCCACCCAGGGTGTTAATCTATTCATGAGAGATCCAACCCCATAACCCAAACTACTCCTAACATTGACAAATTGGGGATCAGAGTTTTACATGAGCCTTGGAGTGACAACACATCCAAACTCTATCACAGACTAATGTTGCATCCTCATTAAAAAAAACAAAACAAAATACAATTATGTGCCTGCTGGAACTGAAGAGTGGTGTTCTCCATCCCCTGGGATAGAAAGTTCCCAGCCTATAAGTAGAGAATCCAAATGTACACTCACCTTTAGGCTGAGGGGCCTCCCTGCTAGAAGGCTGATGTTTTTTGAGGACAGCAAACTATTTGCCAAATCTGATTTAGGAACCAATGAGCTAAATTTAAGGTTATAAAAATGATATGGGAAGAGAAGCTTTTGACAAATAACTTTAACTTTTGGGAGGGGAACCCTCCACATGCAGTGGGCTTCCTCTCAGAGGCTCAGAGAGAATCTCTGGGAATCCTGAGGGCAAGGCCTGGGCTCTGGGAGACCTGCTTATGACTCTCTGCCTCCCTCCACTTCGGGAGTGACCGTCCTGTCCTGGAAACATGCTCTGCAGTGACGCCATTGCACAGGTTTTGCCCACTGGAGTCGTGTCTCTGGGAGCAGAGTCAACGTCCTGCATTCTTGTTCTCACCAAGTGAGGCCTGGAGAGCGTTTGCAGGGGCACTTCCATTTTAGCCTGCTTCTATTTTAAAGCCTGGAGACAATTAAAGACCAGTGTCTGGTGCCAGTATATATTTTTTTCCATAGTCCATGCTATTCTTAGAAACAGTTGAGCCATTGGTGGTGAAGCTGAAGGCTCTGGAATCTTTTCCTTCATGTGGCAACAGCTTGTTTTTCCTGAGGAGGCTCAGGGGTGCTTTTCTTGGGCTCAGGAGTGCGGCCTGTGTGGCTTGGATTGCTTATTCCCTGGGAGGGCACACACTGAACCCTTTGGAAATGAAGCAAGAGGACATGGATGAGTGGCAGGCAAAGAGGGAAAAACAGGACTGGAGTTCTTTAGGCAACTGCTTTATTTACAGCTCTGAAAATGGTGCTTGTCCAACTATCCAGAACTTTCACGAAGTTCAAATTTGGAAACTGTAGTGATGAAAATGCCAGTTGTATTTTAAAAATTATTTTTAACTGTCTATGAAGCTAAGGTTGCATTTTGGCAAAACTGGCTGCTTTTAAACTGGTGATAATGAATTAAAAAAAAAAAATCAATTCAGCCAGATTTTGTTAAGCCTTACATGGTACAACACAAGGTTACATAAGGTGTAGTTTTTGTCTTCGAGGAGAAGAATAAGACACACACATGGATTTCTGCAATAAAAATAACCAGGGAACATTATTAACCCATATTAGAAAGCTCATTTGCAGGTGATGTTGAACTAGAAACATTCCAGAAGGACTCAACATGATGCAGTGTTTGCTTTTGTGTATATTTGAAATGCTTCATAATAAAAATTAAAAACTGTAAGAGCAAAAGAAATAATAGTACATATGATGAAATAATTAAAATTAAACAAGAATAAAACCTGTAGAGTACACCTAAATGACACTTTAAATGAACACTTACAGTCTCAGTTGCATGTATTAGACAATGAGAAAGACTCAAAATGCACGAGCTCAGTGCTCAACACAATACAATAGAAAAACAACCACAGAGCAAGGTAGAGAGAAGGTAGAAGGAAGGAGGAAATCATAAAGATAAGGAGAGCAGGGCCGGCCCGGTGGTGCACTGCTACAGTGCGCCTCTTGGGAGTGTGGCGGCGCTCCCGCCGAGGGTTTGGATCCCACATACAGACCGGCCGCTCAGCGAGGTGCGGGGCAACACCGAGGGTTGCGATCCCGTTGCCGGTCCCGGTCTGGTACGGGCGCGACACTGAGGGTTGCGATCCATTGCCGGTCACGAAAAAAGACAAAAAGAAAAAAAAAAAAAAAAGATAAGGAGAGCAATTAATGAGCTAGAAAACAAAGTAATAATACAGAACATCAACCACACTAAAAATCAGTACCTTGATAAGAGTGATAAAGCAAGCAGTCTCTGGCAAGAATGGCCAAAAGCAAGAGAAGGAAAAGATGAAAGAGAAACAGAACAGAACTGTTGATGGAGATTTTAAAACCTGGACGAGCTCCTGACAATATTTTTGGAAACAGAGAAACTGGACAATTTTTTAGAAAAATATGATTACAAAAATTGATGAAACAAAAAGCCTGAATGCACCTATAATCAACAAAAGAGGTGAATCTAGTTAATAACACACAGCCTTCTGTGGAGCCCTACCCCGCCAAAACCAGGTCAGACACAGCCAAGCTTATAAAATCTTCAAAGAACACATAAGCACTACTTTATATACATTTTTTCAAGGAATAGAAAAAGGACAACTCCTCAAGTCATTTTATATAAATAACCCTGAAAATAAAATTGAACAAGTAAGGCAAAACACAGCAAAATTACAGGCCATTGCCAATTACAAACACAAATGCAATGATCTTAAATAAAATATTAGTAAACTAAATCTATCATAACAGTTGAAAAATACATTTTTCATCAATTAAGATTTATCCCAATGTTGCAGGATGGTTTACATTTGGAAATCTTTTAATGGAATTCACCATGTCTGTACATTTAAAGATGTATAAACATTACTACATATTGCTTACAGTTTTATGTCTAGTAAAATATGAAAACATGGTCAATTACTGTCTATTTCTGGTGATAGAGGTTGAATAATGAAATGGGAGTGCTTCAACTGACATTAAAATGCTTTATTTCTTAAAAAAGAAAAAGATAACTAAAAAATTCAGTTAAGAAAACATTTCTTAGAGGCAGTGGATAACTCCATTGGTAACTGTCATTTTTCTGAATTGCTGAAATATTACACAACTAAGCATGTTTAAGGAAAAGAAAGAAAAAAGGCAAAATCTAAAACTTAAATTATAACCAGCACTCTTCTGTTAATATTTTCCATTTATACTTGCTTTTTCACTAGAAAATTTTTAGTTTATAATTTGTTTTGCTTGTAAGATGAAGATACTGAAGGGAATGTCTTCTTGGGTTTGGTCTGTCATAAAATGTTTAATATCTTTTGTGATTAATATTTTACAATTTTTGTTTTCCACTTGCAGGAAAAAAAAAAAAACCCACAGCTGTTTGAAATAGAAGAAAGATGAATTCTGTCATCAATAGCCACCATGATTCTACTCCCAGACACACATCTTCCACCCTCTCTGGGTCTTTCCTCTTCCTCAAGCCCCCAAGGTCATCAGAGTGCTTCCGAAGTTAGGGTTTACTTTGTTCAGCTTTCTGATCCCTCTTAAGATTTCATCTGCTTTATCACTTCTCGATCCCCAGCATCCCATCCCCTCCTTTCCTAATGATCTGCAACAGGAGGGCACCCTCTCTGGGTCTTTCCTCTTCCTCAAGCCCCCAAGGTCATCAGAGTGCTTCCGAAGTTGGGGTTTACTTTGTTCAGCTTTCTGATCCCTCTTAAGATTTCATCTGCTTTATCACTTCTCGATCCCCAGTATCCCATCCCTTCCTTTCCTAATGATCTGCAACAGGAGGAACTCACTAGTCACATGTATTAGAATGTATTACCTAGTCATTGGGGTGAAGTTTCATGCGAG